TGTTTTGGTAAACGTGGTGCTCATGAAAGGGCCAGACAGGCAGATAGCCACTGAACAGGCGTACCAGAGGAAAGATCAATGACAGCATCCCCACACTGATCTGCCACTATGCTTTATTCTAAGTTGGAGTGGCCACCAGTTCAGTTTACGCATCCATTCAACCATTGCTCTATCGGCTGAAACTACCAAAAGGGGAGACAATTAACACTACGTGTGGTTTTGTTTTTTGTGATGGACACACATCGACCATAAGAGGAAAAGAACTGAAATGAGATGACTGTTTCAATTGGGCTACTCCATAGAACTGTGTGATGAAAGTCTTCTATAAAAGGGAATTATCTTAGGTATTTGAAATTTGGATTTGGTCTGACTCAGAACAAAAAGCAAACATTTCAAAAATTTTCAAAAGGGAAATCCCCAGGGTTCCTGACTCACAGACAGTCTGGCTGGCTAGCTGCCATGGGCCCTGGAAGCCCCAGTCTTGGAGCCAGTCCACTTAGTTGACTACCCTGGGACCATAGACCCTAGAAACCAAGGCTTGTGAGCTGACAAGAAATGAGGCAAATTTCAGAAGATTCTGTCAGAACCCAGCCTGGTTACAAGAGAAGACAGATGCTGCACCTCTGGAACAGTGTCAGCCAACTCCTCTGCTTTGTCAAACGCTAAGCTAACTTCTTCATTTTCTGTGGCGCTCAGAAGGGAGGGATGGGAGACAGATGCTAGGGTGAGATAGGTGATCACAAGGGTGATAAAATACTGAAGGGAAATCAGAATTAAACCAGAACATTTGATCAAGAAATTGGAGGCTAACAAGACTCAAGGGCCAGATAGGAATGGCTATTAACATTTAAAAGTGGTAGTAATAATCGTCAGCTGACATCTATATAGAGCTGTTCACCAAAAAGTGCATTCAAATTTTCCCTAATGAAATGAATTTACTTGCTGTTGAATTGCACGGCATCGTTACCCCAAAAATCAGACCTAAGGCACCCCATTTTCCTTGCTTCAGCTAATGGTGACAGATCAGCACTACTGATGCTGGACAGCGCCTAGTGCTGAACAGCATTTTCAACACACAGAGCAGCTGGAAAATCCTTTGTATCAGCATTTAACAGTATGTACACATCAACAGTCTAGTACTGGCAGGAAAGAAAAGCTTTCTAGCCCATTGAAGTTGCAGGAGCGATTTGGATAATTACACTCTGCCCCAGCCAAACTTAAGGTTGGCCATGACACCAGAAAGTGTCATGGAATCTATAATAACCACAAATGGCCAAAGCCTCATCTATTACATCTCATCTGAAAGACAGGAGAGACTGTTATGTTGGCAGATACTAATGCCATGCGAGAGCATTGCTGCAGAACTGTCTCAAACAGAAAGTTGCCATTCACTAACTCACACCATTTCTGCTGCACTCTTTGGTTCCTCTTGGTTTTTCCCCATATCAGAAAACATTGCAGAATTCTGCAGTAACTATTCCAAATTTGGCATCTTATAGTAGCTTTACAGCACTCGGGTGGTTTGTTGCTGTAGATGCTCTATTCTTATAAAGGTCTCCCATCCAAACTGATCAGGCCCAACCTTCTGTAGTTTATGGACTCCAATAATTTTAGCAGCCCAATATTACATGCCAACAGGGAAGATGCAGAAAATGACAGACCTACTGTGTAAACTTGCTGTCAGCAGTGAACAAATTACAAATTCCTAATTTAACAAAGGAGGTCTCTGCTCTGATTTTACCAACGGGAGATTATGCCTAACGAAATTTGTTGCAGAAGTACTACCCAAAAGCTCTGAAACTACTTATGCTACAGAGACCTATTTAGAAGCACATACAAGGCTAATCTATCAATGAATGTTGCTGTATAGGGAACAAGCTACTTATCAAAAAATGTAGAAAGAAGTGGCTCATATATCAAAGATACTTGTGTTCTGGAACAGCTTGTTATGCTAGGTCAGACCTGTCACAAGGATTAATATTAGGACTGATTTTTTTCCCCTTTATTTCAATGAACTGGAAGGAGGGACATGCTAGAGAATAATAAAATAAAAAAATGCTGTTGGAAGGGGAAGAGGAAAAGTTGAAACCAAGATTAAGAAGAAATATAATTCTAGATGTTGTCTCACAGCCGCTGAAGTTCAAGCAACCTATGTTCACATAAGGGGAAATTAAATTCCTTACCCACAGCCGTGAACAAAGCCCTAGTAATGGGGCTGTGAGCTGGGAAATCAGCAGGGTATAAGGAGCAAAATTCACCCCTGAGCAGGTGCTGACCCTGCCTCCCCCTCAATGGCTGCTACCACTATCCACCAGCTAAAATAGAGGACCCATGGCCTCCTCACCCACCACTTCCCAGTATTCCCTGCCATACCCACATATTTGGAAGCAGGTTGTGTACCAGCTCGTGGTTGCAAAAGAAGTCCAGGAGTCACTGAAGGGCTGCTTTGTTCCAAATGTACAGAAAACCCAGACACCCCTTTGGAGGTCTGCATCACAAAGGGGCTTTTCATGGGTGCTCTTTTCACAGGTGAATTTGATTCATTAACCTAGTTCTACCACATTTCCTGTGGGCTTTCATCCCTCACATTATCTCTGAAATTCAAGCAGATCTGTTTTATACCTGAGCAGCCTATCAACTGTCTGTTGAACCTTGTTATATGTTGATGTAAAGCTGCCAGAGAAGCCATTTGCAACGCAGGCCAAGTTTTTAATTGGTTGTACAAAACTCAATTAGGCTACATATCCTTGATTTTTAGCTACTAGTACCTTATTAATTAACTATATATATATATATATACACACACACACACACATACACACACACACACACACAATTAGATCATTCATTTAACAAATCTGACAGCTGTCAGATTAGACTCTCCTCTACTTCTGACCAGTTCTTATTTCCCATCAAGCAGAATCATAAAAGCAAAGAGCCTCCCTTTTTAAAAAGGAAATGTGATCACTACAAAAAATATAAAATGCAGAGGAAGGACTTAACCTAAATATGCTTTGTACTTTCCTTCCAAATTTCCTATGCTCCTACCTCTTGTAGCTGTAGAAAAAGTACAGTGGATGATCCTAATACTGCCAAAGCCAGCCTGAAGTGCCCTCTTCAATGGATTTCCTGTAACTGTCTTCACAATGGTGAAGACTGTATTTCTGGTTATAAAAAAGTTAAGTTGCATAAGTCACCTAACTAATTCACGGTCTCTTTAGTTTGGGGCAAAGCAAGTACTGCTAGATTATCCTTTTCTATTTTTGACAGGTGGGTGTATCCTTCTGAAAAGAAATGTGCAGTCATGTCTTGCTTTCAACAGATTACTTCCACTAACATCACTTTGATGAACTGTGTGTGTTTATTTCCACAGGCATAATGACAATAATCTGATATAAAATAGATTGATTAACCGACACTGGTGGCAAAGCCAAGTTCATATTTTCCCCCTCAGCATGTTCATTTCCCTTTATTATTAAAAATAAAGACCTAGCTTTAACTCCCTAAAAATCTTTCCCTTAAAAAAATACTAACAAAACATGAATTGGTCCTTTCATTGCTTGCCTTAAGCTTTTAATTTTCCTAATGAATGTCTTTACCTCCGAACATCACCATATTTGCCAAAAGAAGCTTATTAACCTGTAGGCCTGATTCTGCTCACAATGGGAGTTTTGGAGGGATGTGCCCTATATTTCTATTAGATGTTCTCAAGTAATATTAATTTGTTATTATCAACAACTTCAATAATGTGCATTACCTCTTAATGAATGGAAAAGAAACATTAAATTGAAAACATGATTAACACTTGGTGATGCCCTAGAATAATCTCTCTCATCAAATGCCATCTCTGGCAAAGGCCCCCTTTTCATCAACATTTCCCAAACAAAAGCTGTGACTACAGCTGTGCAAACATTTCCAATGAAACATGCAACTACACTAAACCCATGTTTTGGAGTTTGGATTCCAATTTGTAACTCAGGCTTAACTTCATTAAATAATTTGTTAAACTTCCTGAACCTTTATCTCAAGTTTGGGTATAGTCTATAGCAAACGTAGGCCTGTTATATATAGCAAGCCATTACTGAGCATTCTTAGAGACAGGCCTAATTTTTTTTAGAAGTGACTAGGGGGTTTCAGTGCCTCTATTTTTTGGGTACCAATTTGAGCTACCTTGAAGAAGAGATCTGATTTTCAGAGAGCCAGGCACTCAGCACTTTCTAAAGCTCAAGGAACCTTTAAGACATCTGAAATTGGGGACTAAATAACTGACACTTAAAATCATTAGTCACTGCTTAAAATTTAGATCATGGATTTCTTTACAGTTAAAATGAAGACGGCAACACCATTTCTTGCATAGATCTTTGTATACATTTTCAGAAGGATTCATCTCGGCAGCCTTCATCAGTATTAATATTTCCATATCATTCATGTTTATATTTCAGACTTTTTCTCTTCCTTTTTTTTTAATGTAACCAGGAATGTTTTAATCTTTGTTGTTAGAAGGATAGTGTTGCCACAGGAAATCATTCCTCCCCCCCTCCGGTTTGAACCTGCAGCCATTTTTATATGTGGAACTTGTTTAAAAGCAATTGGAGTTTTCAGTGTGAACAGATTCCAGAATCTGCTTTTATTGGGTTTGTCTATTTTAAGCTAGATCTATTTTTCACCTGATCTCACTGTTACATTTGCTTTTTATGTTTCAGTATTAGTGAAGGAAGTAAGCAACACATATAATAAAATGTATGTGTATAACGTAAGGAGATGCAAACTTAAATGGAAGGACTGTTTCCAATACATCACTTCTCTGCTTAGTTAAATGATATTTCTTTCTAAGCAAAGATACTGTATGAGACTAGGCTGGTACCTTTATAAAAGACTGCCTTTCATCAAGCAAGAAAAGGAAATTACAGTGTATTTCAAATGTGTTTGTAAACCATTTATCTACACATACTATCTACTTTATTTCATGTAACTGTTACTTTTTTGCCTTGCCTCGGCAGGTCGCTACTTTAACTCAAGAGGTCTCACAATTAAGAAAGGACATGAAGAACGTGATGCATCTTCTGGAAAACTTATTGACATCACAGAAGCCTCCAGGGTTCTGTGCAGTGCATGGCACATCTGTGAGTCCTACATTGGAAAGCTTACAGCCTAGAATGACTTGGACTACACATCAACCTTGTATGCATATGCAAGCTGGGAATATTACTTGCACCAAAGCACAACTTTGCCATGGTAACACGACTCCTGACATTTGGCACAGGGATCCATCTTCTGTAGGGAGCAGTCCCCAAAGAACTGAATCCCATGTTCAAAATTCTATGGACAGTGAATTTTATTATACTTCAGGCCTTGACTATTCACCTTCCTGCTATCAGGTAAATCAGAAGGATAATTTGCAGTTTTTAAGATGCACCTCTCCATATTCAGATACTACCTTGACTCCTCTTCAGTCTATTTCTGCAACTCTTTCTTCCTCAGCGTCCTCCTCCTCAGAGACTTCACTGCACCTTGTGCTCCCCAGCAGATCCGAGGCAAGTAGCTTTAGCCCAGGAGCAGTCAGTTCACTAAGCTTTGAGAACTTGCCAGGATCTTGGGACCTTGAAGGAACAACAGGAGCAGTTTCTGCACAAACCGCTGAAGATTTCCCACTAGATGTTGTGACAAGCACAATGGATATTAAAGATAACCAAGCCATAAATGTATAACGATAGACCAATCAGTGGTATTCAAAGCATGTTCCACAGCTGCCAGTTTAAAACTTAACCAGTACTGCATGACTGCTTTGTATTGCCTTGTCTCTGGTCATCATGGAGACTTGCTAACATGAAAAATCAGATTTTTAGAAAGCAAGTGGATATGATAAGATATAACCAGTTCATACAGTAGGAAACAATTTCTAGATTCTAGAAGCATGTTGAAAAGCATTTTGTATACACAGATATAACTTATGGTCTGTTTGGCAGACTTTTGTGATAGTCCAAAAGACCCTGAGGGTCAGAGCAGCTGGAAGTCTAGGACAAAAGAACTGTCATAGGAGGTTTTTGATGCTTGAAGCAAAGGCTTTTCCTGAGTGCCTGATTGTTGTTCTCAAACAATATCCGTGGCACTGTTTGCTTCAGGTGATCATGGCTCCTACTGGTTTATTTGTCAGTTCCGTGAAGGCAATGGGGCAATTATCGCTGCATGTCATCTCCTAGACAATCAACCAAATAGAATTGGTAGAGAGTGGTTAGTAGTCGCATGGTATTTGTCATGTAAATGAAACCTCTTTATTTATCAAAAAATACTATTTTTATATACTTGGTATGAAATCTGTACCTGGAACTATTTAAAATATTTATAAGAAGAATAAGGATTTCTTTTCATTTTGTAAAAGCGTGCAGTTTTAACAAGAAATGCACTATCATCATGTAGTAGATCAAACTATTTATTGTTAAGACTATGTAGTTTAAAACTGGATCCCCCTTTATCTGCATGCTGTTTGCAATGAATGTATCCATGCTGGAGGAATAAAAATAAAAGGTAATATTTTATTTAAAAAAATAAAAACCTGGAATGTAAAGTCAGATATTAGTATTTTAACCTGTGAACTGTGCTATGCTAATGATATTCAGTGCCCTAGTTTTGTCTTATAGCATTGTATTATCGCCTCTATTGTTAAAACTGGTTCAGCGCTTCAATATAATCCCTATTTTCAGGGGGTTAATACCTTTTGGCCAACAAAATTCAATGAGAACTGAAAATTGGCAGGTAGAATTGTAAATTAAGAGCAATATTTTTTAAACAAATTTTAAAAAATATTTAGGCTATTTTAATCAGCAAGAAAAGGAGTAAATAATAATCTTGAACTGTTATATTTATCTATTGGTTTGTACTTGTATACCTAAAAATAGCTTTGATCTTTAGAAAAAATTAAATTTGGCAAGTGATTTTGTCCATAAAATTGTTTAATTGCTTTTGGTATTTTCAAACAATATTTTTTTAATGCTCAATATATTAACACTTTGAATAGTGACTGTGCATGCATAGCAACTACTTTTCATGGAGATTTTTATATGAAATTTTAAGATGAATAGTATATACCATAAGTACATGTTCATAGCAAATCTACGTAATTATACATCCTTTATAACCTTAGATTATTTTTAAATAAGGAAAAAATACTGTGAAATTATTTTTAAAAAATAATGCATCAAATCCAGCAATCCTTATCAAGATGAAACTCTCACTGACTTCACATTTAATCACAATTTTGATTTCACTGGGAGTTTTATTTGAGTAAGAACCTCAGGCCTGAGTCCAGTGTTAAGGTTTTGATGCGCTAGGGAGCACAAATTCACCCTGATACTCTGTGTTTAACTCACATCATTCCACATTATTAATCTCGCTGGTGTAAATTCAGAACAAAGCGTCAGCATTTAATTTTGAACGGCTTGACTTTTGTCAGTGTCAGACCTTTAACATGATTGTTTCTAAGTAGTTTTTTCTATTGAAGTATTGTGTTAATTTGAAGTTAAATACAGAAGCAAGTATGAAATGAGCTACATATAGAACAGATTAGAGAGAGAGAGAGAGAGAATAAGGTAATTGGTAGAATATATAACAATGTAGGTCTACAGCATTTTGTGGGACTAGATTATCCCATTCTTTGACAATGCCCAAAGAAAGATAACTTACTTTAAAAATTCTTTAGGCTTTTATGCAGAGGAAGGAAAGGGGAGAGATTTTAAGACCGCAGTCCCACAACAGACTGATAGTAGCATGGGCCAGTTCTATTTAGATCAGCCTTAACATCAGTAGAAATTTGCTACTACTTTAATTCACCCCATCCCCCACCTCCCTGCAGCCAGCCATACATGTGATCTGTAGCACAGTCCTTAGAATACACTGTTCACACAGAGCAGCTATCACTGACTTAGGAGCTCGCAACATAGCTGCCCCACATCTTAATTCTTCACTCCTTTGTTCCCCTTCATGCTGCATAAGGAGAACGGAGCACTAGACCCACTGTTCAAAATAGGCACATTTCATTTCTACAATAGTTTGTCCAGTATTTGGAAAGTTCCGTTTATCCTGTACCCCAGTCACTGATTCACGGCACAGATACACTGCCTTCGCAGTTCCTATCAACATCACCTGAGTCCAATTACAGATTCAAGACAGTCTTGCCTCTTTAATTTTATAAGTGTCTAGATAGATATATACACACACACACACACACACACACACACACACACACACACACACAATGTAGAATGCAAAGTCGAGGAGTTCTGCATAATTAGCAGGGTTTCACTACTGTGCATTGGACTCCAGCAAGATAAGCGAATGCAAGTGCAACAACTGAAAGCAAATGAAACTCAGCAGATCTGTCACAAGCTACTCTTTGTTTCTGAAAATGTAAAATGTATCACAAACAAAGCTGACAAACATTAGTTCCATCAGTGGTTCTCAAACCAGGGCTGGCGTTAGACTTGCTAGGGCCCAGGGCTGAAGCCTGAGCCCCACCGCCAGGCTGAAGCCAAAGCCCAAGGGCTTGAGCTGTGGGTGGTGGGTCTTGGGCTTGGGTTTCGACTTCAGCCCCACCACTTGGAGCATCCTCGCTCAGGCTACTGCCTCACTGCCTGAGGCTGAAGCTCTCGGGCTACAGCTACAGCCCGGCATGGAGGGCGAGAGTTATGTAATTTTTGTTGTCAGAAGCGGGTCGTGGTCTAATGAAGATTGAGAACCACTAGTTCCATTATCCTGATAATAATACCAAAGAACTTGTTTTAGCATGTCCTAGACAGCAAAGAGCAGTGTTGAACTGGTGGGGATAGTGCCCCCAGGGAAAGGCTAGAGGATGGACCATTTGGTGCATGATAAGGAACCAGAAATAATTCCAGTGTGAGGCTAACCTAGGGAAATAGAAAAGTGTGATTAGAAGGGTGTTTCAAGCGTGATGTCACTTATACAGTGATTGAAATTTGTATTATTAAAAAAAAGCAAGAAAAGACTTGCATATCAAGCAGGGTTTATTCTGGAAATGTTTGGAATTGAGACATTGTCCCACCAAAGCCAAAACAAAATAGGGGTTAAAATGTGAAAATATTGGACATGGCCAAATATGATGGGCCAAACCTTTTGGAATGGAGCAGGAGTCCTAGCTGCCAGGTACTGTGAGCACAAATGGAGTAGTTCTATGGGCAGGGTCACCCTAGGCATTTATTACTATTAAACACCCTTCTAAAGCACCTGTCACTGTAATAGCCAAATGCTCTCCTAATCTAGGGTTGCCAACCCTTCAGGATTGGCCTGGAGTCTCCAGGAATTAAAGATTAAACTTTAATTAAAGATTATGTGTCATGTGATGAAATCTCCAGGAATACAGCCAACCAAAATTGGCAACCCTATTAGGTGCTCAAGATGGATTTCAGTGCTAGTGTTCCTAAATTTTCTCTTCCAACTTCAGCAGTTTATTGTAACTTTTTTTTTGCACTAAACTTTACAAAAATAAAATAATTCAAATCTATTTTGTCTTATGTTTGTTCTTCATTCTCTCTTCCCCTCACTTCATTTTTTTCTTACACTTTCTATGCTTGTTGTTTTCATCTCTTTTAGTGACTTCCCCATACTCTTATTTTTCTATACAGTACAATAATTCTTCCCTCACTACTATTCAGTTTCCTGTGTTCTGCCCTTCAGTCATTCTCGTCTTCCCCAACAATATTACCCTTTTTCCTATCTCACACACCCCCTCACAGTCTCCCATCATTCTTCCTCACTCATTTAAATCAGACATATCTTCCTCTTTTCCCCAAGTCTGTTAATTTAAACAATTCTCTCTGTAACAGTCACCACTGAAGAAAGCGGATACGGACCCTAGTCATGTGATAAGCCAAAGTTTATAATCCTATGTCATATAGCAAGGTCCAGGAGATAAACCATGGGTCTCTTAAAGCAGCCCTTTTACAGGTCACCTATGCATTATATTGGGTTCTTGCCACATTTATTCCAAACAAATCTGGTCTTTGCCATTTGTTCACCATTGCATTCTATCTTTAAGCCTTAGTATGCATTTTTAAAGAGATGCACTTATGTTGTTTCACTAGTTATTAACATATTAATTAAGCAAACAGTTTTCACTAGCCCTGCAAATACCCATTGATGTTTGCAAAGCCCAAGTCCATTTCTTGCAATACCTTTGTTTTGGCCTGGCTATCACTTAACTGCCACAAATAATTTGGCCTCTAATTAGTCCATTTGTTAACTGTGCACAAGATTTAGTTTTATTAGGCATGTATGTAACATACTAGTCAATTGTCTCAGTTGTTTCTTGTTTAAAAAAAAAAAAGTGTCTTTCCTGAGTGACATTCTTGGCTGGATCAATGTATTGACATTTTAAATGTCTTTGTCTAGCAGTTTGTCCTGTGCATATTTTTAGTGGAATGTACCGTAGATCTTCAATCCTCTAGCCCTACCATGTAGGAGTGTGCAGGATTCACCTTCTGCAGGTTCTCTTCAACACCATTTGCTTCCAAAAACAAATATGTGCAGTTGGTTCGCCCATCTCCTTCTATGTTAAGGAGTTCAGGGGATGGCATTTGCTCCATTTTTGCCAAAGATTTTAATTTTTTGTCTGCCACCTTATCTTAAAAATATGCAGTAAACGACTGGTGTTTTTTCTCTCTTTCTGCCATGCGGAGAGAACCTCACATAGTAGAGA